CAATCCACTCACCTCGGCCTCCCAAAGGCACGGGATTACAGGCTGACCACCGAGCCCGGCTAAAAGTTATCATTCTTGCTAGGATAACTCTCAGTCATTTGGCTAGCGAGAACAGGCTTTTGTTGAGACTGTTTTAGTCTGTACCTGTTGGTGTTTCCATGTTGCCAACTTCTTTACCTCCAAATCTGGTATATGTGAGACAGAAGGAAAACCTGGGGAACTCAGTACCATGTCATACCATAGGTGTCCAGGTCCCTTTCCGAGTGCCTTCTTTCCACCTTTCATAATCTTTTTTTTTTTTTTTTTTTTTTTTTTTGAGTTTGGAGTCTCACTCTGTTGTTCAGGCTGGAGTGCACTGGTGCAATCCCGGTTTACCAGTTCGCCACAGCTTGGGCTCAGACAGACCTTCTGCCTCAGCCTCCTGAGTAGCTAGGACTACAGGTGCATGCCTCCATGCCCGGCTAATTTTTTATACTTTTTTGTAGAGACAGGGTCTCACTATGTTGCCTAGGCTGATCTCAAACTCCTGGGGTCAAGCAGTCCTCTTGCTTTGGCCTCCCAAAGTGCTAGGATTACAGGTGTGAGCCACCACATCTGGCCTCAGAGTCTTCTTACATCTGCTTTGTATGTAATGTCTAAGGTTTTCAGTTGTTTTAGTACAAGGAATAGGGAGAATTACATTTTTGTCGACTCCATTTTCCCAGAAGCAAAAGTTTTACCCACCTTGTGTTCTTGTACATAGAATCATATTGGAATACAGCCATGCTTCTTTGTTTGTATGTTGCTTGTAACTGCCTTCATGTTAAAATGGCAGAACTGAGCATTTGCAGCAGAGACCATATGGCCTGCAAAAAAGTTTGCTGACCCCAACTCTAATAGCTAAGTAACTCCCTGGTGGTGTGACCAGTCAGTTAGTGGTAGATGAAGGACTAGAGCCTAGATCCCCAGACATTTGACTTGCATAGGCGCGCGTTCTCTGTCCTTCCCTCCTCCCCTCCTTCCCTCCTTCCCTTCCCCCCATCTCTGTCTCTGTCTCCTGAAGTGTTAACTGCTTGAAAACTAGTCAAAACATAGACAGTATTCATTAGAAAGTGCAAGTCCTTCTGCTTTACAGACTTCATTCTTAACAGTTTATTATATGCCATTGTAGATGGTTTTAAACGTGTGAGCATTTACAGTACATATCTTACAAAGCTACTTAGAGTCATACTATACTCTTTTTCCCACTGAGTAGTATATAATGACACCAGGCAACTCCTAAGAAAATAAAATCCTTAATTTTTTGCATTTAAGTATCAAAGGCATACGAAGTTTGTAAATGACTATATTTTATACTATGGTGGCAAAAAAGAAGACTTCAGGCGTTTGGGGTAAGTATCCTGAAGTTTACACCGAATGGGAGGGGGTGGTGGATGACGTTCAAGATCTCCAGCTGCTGTGTCTTCTGGCTCTGCTCTTTGTCCCCTGCTTTCTGTTCCAGTTTCCTGTTTATAGCACAAGGTAGACACACCATCCACAGCTTTTAGCTCAGTAGCACTTCATGAATTCCATTTCTTTGGACAGGCCTCAGGCCATCTCCTCACCTGCTGAGTGAGGTATGACCCTGGCAGTAGCAGGGTACATGAGGAATACTCACATGTCTTACTGGCAGTAAAGAAATATTTAGACCTTAGTGTTTGGGATTGCTTTCTAAAAGGTAGGAAAACAGAAAACTCACTAGCATTTCCCACACATCCAAGTCCCTCCTGTATTTGAAGCCTGTCTCTATCAGAGCCTCTTGGTTTCTCGTGAGTTGTTTTTTCCTCTGGCTTAGTCTTCTGAATCAGTGGGTGCTGAACAACTTTATTACCATTCAATTACCCCAGATTCATCTCCCCTATCAGTTTAGCTTGTATCCCCCACTCATTTTTTCTACCCTCAGACTTGTCAGCATTTTATTTTGAAAGATCAGACTCCTTCTACTCTCTTCCTGTCTTATCCAGCCTTCCGAGGAAACTTGCTTATGTAGTGGTACTTTCTATAAGTGCCTTTTGAAAATATTGAAATAGTTTTTATAAATATGTGTACAAATATATGCACACTCACATAAAACTATTTTTCTTCATGTATTAGATTTTTTTTAATTTTCAAAATTCTCACAGAACTGTTGAACCTCCTAAATTTGACTAATTTTGTTCTTATATTAAATTAAAAGAGTTTTATTTTCCAGAGAAAATGACAAGACAGACTTGGACGTTATACGAGAAAATCATAGATTCCTGTGGAATGAGGAGGATGAAATGGACATGACCTGGTAATTTTGGCCATTGGAGGCACAGTACACGAGATGCATTAGTCATCTCCCTCCCGTTTTCTGAGTGTTTTCTTTGTCTCTTAGCCAAGGTGTTCAGCCCTTCATAGGACAGTTCTGAATCAAGGGCATAAAATCATGCCTGGAATTACTGACTCTGGTTTGTTTCTTTTGGTAATTTTTGACAGTTTTAACTGACTTCTCATTGCTTGATTTAGTCTTTTAAAAATAACATTTTTATAGTATTATATGTTGTCTTGCCACATGCTATTATTATATGCTGCATCTTTAATTTTTGAAATATTTTGGGGAAAAGTGGTACCTGGAAATGATTTTTTAAATCAAACAATAAAAAATAAAAAGTGAGGTGTAACTCTCCGTCGTACTTGTGACCATCAGTCCTCCATTTTCCCTTTCTGAGGGAACCACTATTAATAGTTAATATCCAGATATTCTGTGCACATGGAAGGAGTAGGTCTATTTAAAACATTAATATTTATGTAGTATGTGTTACTTGACATCGCTTGTAAGTGGGAAACTACAGTTGTATTTCTAGATGTATAATATTTATATTTCGTGTTAATCTAGGGAGAAGAGGCTCGCAAAGAAATACTATGATAAATTATTCAAGGAATACTGCATAGCAGATCTCAGTAGATACAAAGAAAATAAGGTATGCCTTCCACATATTTATAGAAGGAGGTTCTTATTCAAGTAAAATATTAATTTTATTTATACCATCATGTCCCACATTATTGTTTTAAAGATGCTAACTCTAGCCTAAGTTGTCCTGCCCCTATGTGGTGTCATTTGGACCACTTAACCTCTGCAGCTGTAGAGTTTACAAAGGGCCTATGGGAGTTTATAAAGAACAAGGGTGCATTTTTCCTTTTGTGAGCTGGCGTGAAAAGTCTAAAATTAAACGCAAGTGGCTATTGGATTCTGTTTCATCCTGATTCTAGTCTAGAGCCTCTAATGATTATAATGAATGATTTAACACTGCAGATATTGTCTTGTTTCACAGATGATGTTTGAAGTTGATAGATTCTTAAAAATTGACTGCTATTTATTGAGAGCCAGGTGCACAGCTTGTGTTACATAAATATGTCTATTCTGGTAAAATTAACATTGCAATCAGTGCTAATTAGTAATGGCAGATTTCCTTTTCCACTTTACATCTTGTTTTAGTTAATATTAAAGCTATTTTTGACCAGGCATGGTAGCTCATGCCTGTAATCCCCACACTTTGGTAGACTAAGGCAGGAGGATTGCTTGAGGCCAGGAGTTTGTGACCAGCGTAGGCAACATAGTGAGACCTCATCTCTATAAAAAATAAAAAAATTAACTGGGCATGGTGGTGTGCACCTATAGTCCCATCTACTCAAGAGGCTGAGGCAGGAGGATTGCTTGAGTTCAGGAAGTTGAGGCTGCACTGAACTTTGATCATACCACTGTACTCTAGCCCCTGTCTCTAAAACATAAAAAATAAATTTTTTTTTAAAGTTATTTTTATTCCTAGCTCAAACTCCAGATTGTAGTGGAGAAGGTGACCCAGGCACAGATGATCTCAACTGGAAATATGAAAGGGGGGATGTTGCATAAGTATGTATATTATGGATAGTCTATATTTGTACTACATTAAGTAAGATAGCCTGTTTAAGGCCAGTACAGTGGCTATAATCCCAGCACTTTGGGAGGCCAAGGCAAGAAGACTGTTTGAGCCCAAGCATTTGGGACCAGCCTAGGCAGCGTTTTAAGATCTCAACTCTACAAAAAAAAATAATCCGGCATGGTGACATGCGCCTGTAGTCCCAGCTACTCAAAAGGCCAAAGTGGAAGGTTCATTTGAGCCCAAGAGGTGAAAGCTACAGTGAGCCATGATTTTGCCACTGCACTCCAGCCTGGGCAGCAGTGAGACCCCCCAACTCAAAAAAAGCTATCTATATGTATATATCATAAAGATTTCTTTTTTGTTTAAATAGTTTGATCTCATTAGAACCAAGATTGGTTTAATGACTTTTTCATTAGTGCCTTTAATATGTGTGTTGCTTCACAATTTCTCATAAATTCAGAATGGCAGTGTTTATGTTATATAACCCTGGATATAAATCCATGCACTTAGTGTATCCCCCAACTCTGTTTCTTGTAAACTCGTTATGGGCTCTAGTTCAAAGCTATCACCTCTGTGCCTGCTAATTACCACATCTGATCCAGAAAGCACCACAGTGGTTGGAGCTGCTTGAAGTCGCTATATGCAAATCAAATGTGAATATTCTAAATCTTTCCAAGGAGCATGTAACAAAGTTGCATTTCCAACTCTGGCTTATTCCGGGATCCTTCTTCAATATTTTTTGTGGTTGTGCTTCAGTACTTACTGAAACTGCACTGGGACTGTGGTTTAATACTAATGCTTGGTGACTGTCCTTCAGAAAAAGCTACAGTCTTGTTGAAGGGAGAAAGTATGCATGCATAAAAATAAAATATTTGAATTCTCTATTTCTAAAACAACATATAACTGGAAATCATAGCTTAAAAAAAATAATCGAAACAAATTGTGTTTTCCTATTAGAACATGTGAGCATGATTTCAAGTAAGAGATTGAATATGACTCAGATTTTGAATGTGGATGCTGGGAGAAGTGGGGGATTTGGAGGTGGGTTTTTTTGAAGGGTGAAGATACAACTTGGATTTTGGTATGCCATTCTGTGACGGTTGGAGTGCAGCCTCTGGTTGCCTTGCTAGGATGAATTTTGTCACCATTTTATTTGCTCAAAGACAGTGTTTCATCCACTTACTTAAACCCAGCTCCTAGTTCATGCTTTATGCTTGTAGTAGGTACTTAGGGCGTTTTTGATGAATTTCCGTCTTTGCCTCATACTTTACTTGTTGTTTTCTCCCTTTGCCATTGAGAATTTAGTCGGATTTTCATATCAGTTAGGATTCGATTCAGCCGCAAGGATAGAGCACCTCCCCAAGAAACATGGGCTTAAATGAGCCAGGAGTTGATTTTCTTTGACATGAAAGTCCAAATGGAAGGTCATGAAGTCAGACTCCTTCTTGCTTATTGCTTGCACGTGTGACTTCTTTGTGACAGAGGGCAGAGAGGAAAGAGGAAGCTTGGCACCAAACTCTGAGTAGCTTCCGCTTTAATCCAGACTGGGAGATTTCAGTCAGGAAAGAATGTAAGGACACAGTCTTTAACTAGCAGGATTTAATGTAGTTGTTTTGTTACATTCTTATTTCCCCATAAGATTATAATCTTCTTGGTGACAGACACTTTTATATTTTATTTTATTTTATTTTATTTATTTATTTATTTATTTTTTTAGTTGAAACCTCACCGTGACTCACGCTAGAGTGCAGTGGTGTGATTGTGGCTTACTACAGCCATGAACAACACCTGGGCTCAAGTGAACCCCATCTCAGCTGCCTGAGTAACTGGGACTACAGGTGCATACCACCACACCTGGCTAATTTTTAAAAATGTTTTGAAGAGACCAGGTCTCGCTATGTTGCCTAGGCTGGTCTCAAACTCCTGAGCTCAAGTGATCTCCCACCCCAACCTCCCAAAGTGCTGGGATTATGGGCGTGAGCCACCACGCCCAGGATAATAATCACTTTTTATCCTCAGTAGAATGCCAAGCCTAATAAATAGTTGCTTATCAAGCTATTTTTGAATAAATTATTGAATGAAAGAGACAGTTTGGAAACTTTTGCTTTTACATATTTGTCTGTGCTTTGATAGACATCCCAACATATATTGATGGCAAGTAGTCTCCACATTCATAGATAGGTATCAAAATAGGGTCATCTTGACATTTTTATTTTGTTTTTAGACTTAGAGGATTTTATCTTTGGGTTTTAAGCAGAATATTTTGAAATATTTTGAGCACTTAAAATACGAAATTGCATTCAAGATACAAAATTACCAAATTCAAGCAAAAAATAACTAAACCAGGCATTGAACACTATCTGAATCCTCTCTTTTAATACAACAATCCTGTGAGGCTCAAGTTATTACTATCTTTATTTTTATACCTCAGGAGGAAATAGAGAAGTTAAGTAACTGTCCCAAGGTTACAGAGCTAGTTAATGAATGGTAGGACTTCTTGAGTTAAGTACAGGTAAGCATGATTCTAGACCTGAGAGTTCTTTAGTTTTGTTTTTAAAGTAGACTTTATTTTTTAGAGTATTTTTAGGTTTGCAGCAAAATTGAGTGGAAAGTACAGCGTTCCTGTATACCCTTACCCCCACCATAGTATCAATATCCCCCACATGAGTGGTACATTGATTACAATCTGAATCTGCATTGATACATCATTATCATTCAAGTGCACAGCCTACATTAGGGTTCATTCTTAATACTGTTCTTTATAAAGGTTTTGGCACATGTATAATGATGTGTGTCCACCATTCTAGTAGCATGGAGAATAGTTTCCCTACCCTAAAAATCCTCTATACTCCACCTGTTCCTTCTTCCTAATCCCTGGCAACCACTGATCTTTTAACTTCCTCCATAACTTTGCCTTTTCCAGAATATCACATAATTGAGATCATACAGTATGCAGCCTTTTCCGGTTGGCTTCTTCACTTAGTAATATGCATTGAAGGCTTCTTCTTGTCTTTTCATGGTTTGGTATTTCATTTCCTTTTAGTGCTAAATAATACTCCATCGTTTGTGTGGACCACAGTTTATTTGTCCATTTACTTAATGAAGGACATCTTTGTTGTCTCCAAGTTTTGGCAATTAGAAATAAAGTTGCTGTAAACATCTATATTCAGGTTTTTGTGTGGATATTAGTTTTCAGTGTATTTGATAAATACTGTACCAAGAAACATGACTGTTGGAGAGCTTTCAGTTCTTACGTTAAGCTGAATAGAAAACTAAACCATTTACCAAATCGTTGATAAATTAGCATATGAATGTGAAAGATCTTAAAAAGCAGCAGAGACAAATCATTTTTAGCCAAAATAGCAAAGTTATATTTAGGACTGTGAATGGAAGTTCAGCAACATTCCATGTTAAATTCTGGTCTGATCCTATAGCTTTCTTGTTTTGTCCCTGGGCCAAACTTTGGCAATGACAGAAACTTGAATAATGTTGGATTATATACTAATGAGAGACTTCTCAAATTAGGGTGATGAGATTAGAGGTGGGGCTTTTTTCCTTAAAACGATTGAACTCCGGCAACCC